CCGTGCAGTCGCACGACCAAGCTGGAATCGTCCAAGAGCCTCCGCTCGGGCGACCCCTTGGTGCAGAGGCCCTTCAGCTCGGAGTAGAAGCGCCTGCGGAACTTCTTGATGACATCGGCCCCAGGGCAACATATGCACATGCCGATCTGAGCACAGGTGTACTTCCTCTTCTGGACGGGCACGTCTACGGGGGCACAGTCGTCGTGTATGATTGCCCTGTGCCTCTCCATCCAGTCTGATGCGAGACAAGCTTTCATGTTGCTGCCGTGCCCTGACATCCACAGCGAGCGAGCGATCGAAGCTGTCGACGTAGTAGGGTGCTTGAACTCCAGCATCTGGCCGATGTGCGAGGGCATAGGAGAAAGCATAACCTGGAAAGCAGCCACGCCCTTGAAACTGTTGCACATGGATGCCCACTGGGCAGCGCCCGTAGTCGACTCCCAAGCCTCCATCGCGTCGGCCATCTTTCGCTCCTCGGTCTTGGTCACGCGGCGAAAGCTCACCATGTGCGACTGGGCAGCCCGCATCATCGAGTCCATGTTCACGGTGGCGTTGGGGTCTGCCGATGCTCGCCGCATTGCCAAATCAGTCATCCCCCCGCGACTGGTCGGCACGACAGCCTCCGCGACGAGCTGCTGCTCAAACGCCTCCCGCCGCCCCTTGGCCTGGGCGCGAGCAAGGTCGCGGGACCGAAGGCCGAAGGCGCTGCCAGGTGCATCCGCAGCACGGGGGTTCCCATTGGCCGCGGCTGCGACGGCAGCCAGCCTCGCCACCTCTGCTCTGGGTAAAGCGCGGTACGCAGCGCTCAAGGCGGCGATGCACTGGCGGCCAGTCTGACCAAGGGATTGCCCCCCCAGGAAAGCATGCCAAGAAGACACCGTGCCCCTGACAGTGGTGGTAGCCTCCTCGCCTGGCGGCCCGCCAGGGCCCCCTGCGTCATCGCCGCCACCTGCTGGCGCGCCCCCCTCACCGACTGCTCGAAATGCCCTGTCTGATAAACGAGCTTGGGCAACCACCCATTCGGCCGACGACTCCGCGAACGTTGCCGAGTGGGTCTGCACTCCCCTGACCATCAGCCGCCTGCGGATCGAGGCGTGGCGGGACTCGATAGCCTTGATGTCCAAGTCGATCATGGCGGCAAGCAGGTTCAACTCTGCGATCGCAGCTGGGTTCGACAAGCCTCCGTCCGCGTCCTTGTGTCGCAGCACGAAGTCCTTGGTCCAGCTGTCCATGCGGCAATCCTGGAGGTCACTCACTTCCTGCGCAACGGCTGGGTCCACGATCATGGCGAAGATGCGAGTCGGAAGCAAGCTATGTCGATGGGTGAACGCCTCCCGAACCTGGCACTCAGACCTCGAAAGAAGCTTGAACGCGAGGGCGCGCGCCTTCCGAGTCATCGCCGACGGCTGCACGAGGTCCTTCCACAGCACGCGCTCGCGAAACAGAGGGCCCCACGCAGCCTTGAAGACGCGCGCAGGGGTGCCAAGCGCAGCCTCCACGATCGGCCACGTCCTGCTCGTCGAACTGGCTGCGCCCGTGGACTCAGCCTGGACAACCATGCCCCTCTGCTTGATCTCCCAGTGCTTGCCGCCGACCTCGAGGTGCCAATCCATCGTCCGACGTAAAGGCTCCAGCACCTGCCGAATGATCGCCACTCTGTCAAGCGGCGACGTGTCCATCCAATCTCCAGCGGTGCTACGATGGTACTCGTTCTCCAGCCGCTTTGCATTGAAATCTCCATGGCCCTGCCCATCGCCGCCGCTGGCAGCCGCAGCTTCTGCGGCGCCGCCCTCGCCGCCATCGGCGGCGGCAGGCGCAGCGGCAGCAGCTGACAGAGCCCCGCCATCGCCCAGCCGAGGTCTCTTCTTGGAGCCCCGAGCCATCTCTTTCGCCCAGATAGCCCAGACAGCAGAGCCCAATCCGTGAATGCCGTCAAGTAGGATGAACTCGTCCATGGCAACGTCGGACCCCGTCCACCTGCTCCTCGGCCACCGGGTGAATCGAGCTCCCAAGAGGACGACCTCCAAAGCCTCCGACACCGACTTCTTGATCTCGCTCTCGTCTATGTCGATGCCCTCGGGAATCCATATGTCGACGTGCTCTCGGTCCCTCCAGTCCCCGTTCGGCAAATGGTGCAAAGCTGTCTTCTTCTCGATGAGTCGACTCCCCCGTGCGAGCGAAAGGCACAGCAAGTGCCGCTTGTACGGGGTGGCCTCTGGTGGGGGCCTCCCCCTGCGGATGCGAATCCGCTGTTGAACCACAGCACGGAATATCCGACAGAAAGAAGAGAATCCCGAGCCCTCGTTGACGGCAAGTGCAAAATTGATCTGGCCAGACACGTCGGAGCCCGTCAGGTCGAAGGTGTGCGTGAATACGTTCGCGAGGCAATGTATGGAGCATGTGAAACCAATCTTGCCCCAGCCGTCGCCTCGTCGGTCAACCCCGACCTGCGCCTCGCAGCGGGCGTTCGGGCCAGCGCCGTCCAGGACTGACACGCGCGTCTTGCACGCAAAGTCCTTAGCAGCCCGTCCAACAGCTGTGGTGCGACGTTGGTCCGCCTCTCGAAGACACTCCCCAGTGTTCCGACCCAGCCACTGGAGCGGAGCAATGGACGCGCCGACGATGCCGACGTACTCGCCCGCGTTGGTCCTCAGAAGGTACCCGAACCTCGACGAGCTCTGCAGCAGCTTGATGACAGTTCTCTCTAACTTCGGCTTCCCCCACTGTCGAGATCGATCCATGTGGTACACGGCCACCTGCTGCTGCTGCTGATCGGAAGAGCCCACTGCACCACGACCACGTGCTTGGAACGAATCGTTCACTGACAGCTTCATCGGGGTCTCGTCGTACTTGACCGCCTCGACGTAGTGGAGCAAGTTCTCCTTGGGGACCGTATTTGCCAAATAGCACTCCAGCGCAAGCTTCTGGTCCCGCTCGAAATGTACGATGGTGTTGGCCAAGACGATCACGTACTCTGTGTAGCTCCCAGGGGTCACGCCGATCGAATCCTGGATCTATGCCTTTGACGTGGTTCTGCCAGCCAGCTCGGACGACGAATCCATCAACATGCGGTTGAGCTTCGCTGGCACGTCTTGGTCTGGTACTCTCTGGCGCTCGATCGTGAGCGCTGCCACGCGAACGCACGGGAGCAGCGGCCACTGATCTGTCGAGCCTCTGCCCGTGCATTGGACGATGTGTCTGGGCACGGTGGGCAGCTTCACTGACTCCGACAGGGGCAGCGCCAGGGCGTTGGTGCGGCCCGCCGCCGCGACCGACCTCGCGGCTGCCCGACTGGGCCTGCGGGGCGGGGGGCGCGGCCCACTGGCCGCGGCGCCCGCGGGGCCGCGGGGCGGCGGGTGAGGCTCACCCGCGACCTCGGCGAGCACATCGCCCCAGCCGTCCTCCATCGCGGTCTTGCCGCAAAAAAAAGACACAAAGTGCCAAAGCCTTGCCGAGACATGTGCGATCCAAAACGGCAGCGCGTGGTGATGATGATGGCGGTGACGCTGCTGCCGTTGGCGACGGGGGGGGGGGGGGCGTCCTGAATGTTTGTGAGTGGCTGGGCAAGGGGCGCTTTGCACATGCCTCATCACAGCCCTTCCCTTTCTCTGTCATGTGTCATGCGCCCCCCCCCCGCTCACCCCCGCCCAGCCCCCGACCATATTCTGTCTCCCACCTCGCTCATTACCCAACCCCCTATTCAAAACAGAGCAAGGCGGACGTCGAGTCGGTGCGTGTCCTGCCCAAAGGGCACGGGGGGGGGGCCTGAAAGGGCCTAGGTTGAACCATACGGAACCTCGCATCGCACCTGTGGGGACAGGGACTGAACCCCGCCAAACTACACATCGCACTCAGCGCGCGCTGAGGTTCTTGGGGGACGATGCGCTGCGGACCCGAGGCAGACCCAGCAAAACGTTAGAACTATTATGTTTTCCGCTATGTTATTTTTATTTTTGTTTTTATTTTTTTTTTTCTATTACTATTTATATTTTTTTATTTTCCCTTTTTCTTTTTTTTTACTTTTTTCGTATTTTTTTTTTGTTATTTTTTTGATTTTTTTTTGGTTTTGTTTTCTCTTTTTTGTGTCTTTTTTGTCTATTCTTTGGTCTTCTTTTTTTTTTTTTTGTTTTTTTGTTTTTTGTTTTTTTTTTTTTTTTTATTTTTATTCTTTTTTTTTGTTATCGAATTGATACGAGCGCGCATTGTTTTTGATATTTTTTTAAAACTGTTTTGGGGCTGCGTCGGAAACGTGGGAAACAACTGTTTGTTTTGGGGCTGCGTCGGAAACGTGGGAAACAACTGTTTTGAGACTCCCTGGGAGATGTTGTGGGGAGTTATCATTTTCCCAGCTGGAGGAGGCCACGCATATCATAACTGTAGTCCAGGGGTGGGGCCGCGCGGGGGTACCTGTAGTCGGGGGGGGGCGCGCATGTTATTCGTCGAAGCACGCATGTTATTCGCCGACGCCCATTCGTCCCTCGATAGTGCCCCGTCTCGAACGCTGACCCAATGTGGGGGATGGGTGGAAATGTGCAGACACATGCTTGGTGGGCCGCTTTGGCTCCCAGGGGATAGCGAATTGACGGGGTCCTGTAGCTTCGGAGAGGATTTGTAACGCCTAACGCGGGTACCTGTAGTCTGGGGGGGGGGGGTACCTGTAGTCCGGGGAGGGGTACCTGTAGTCGGGGGGGTACTTGTAGTCCGGGGTGAGGGGTGCCTGCAGAGGGCGTACGGAAGGGGTATACCTGTAGTCCGGGGGGCACCACTAGTCCGGGGGCCCAGAACTATATATACTGAGGGACACAGAGCAGAGAGGGACGTGCCCGACGTGACCCCGGAGCCCAACGCCGCCGCGAAAGCCGTCTCCTGGACAGGGCCGGAGGAGGAGGAGGAGGAGGAGGAGGAGGAGAAGGAGGAGGAGGAGGAGGAGGAGGAGGAGGAGGAGGAGGGGGAGGGGCAGGAGCAAGCGCCAACGTGACCCTGGAACCCAAAGCCGTCTCCTGGACAGGGCCTCGCCCTTCCGCACCAGGTGCGGTGCCGAGAGCACGCCGACCACCGCCGCGGGCAGCGCCGGCCGGCCGTCCTGCGGCGCGCCGCGGGGGGGCAGGCGGCGCGGCCCCGCCGGCGGGCGCCCAAATACCAGACTTACATCGGGCGTGTCCCCCTACAGGGGGATTTTCGACGATAAACAAAAAATACACCAAAAAGGTAAAACCCCCCCAAAAAAAAACTCCAAAAATAGTCCCCAGACTATTTTTGGACTATTTTTGACTATTTTTGGCGTGCTTTTTTTTTTTCGTCGAAAATCCCCCTGTAGGGGGACAGGCCCGACATAATACCAGACCCGGCGAGGAAAGCCCCCCGAGACACCCCCCCCGAAGCACTCTGACCAGGGACCTGTTCGTGGCGGGAAGCCGCGGAGGGCAGCCTGACGGCCCCTAATTAGAAGCTCCCAAAGGCCCTCACAAAAGACTTCCAGGAGGCCTCCTCGAGGCCCCCGGCAAGCCCCAGGAGCCATTCGACGGGGCTGCGGCGGAGTCGCGTCGCGTCGACGCCAGCTTTGCTCCTGACTCCGCGGGGGTCGCTCCACCTCGAACGCTCGGCCGTGTCTGGAACGTCAGATCGTGCAGCCTCGGCCGATGCTTTTGGGACCCTGGCGGCGGCCATGCTCGCGTCGGAGAAAAATCCAGACTGGGGCCGTTTGGGGCCCCTAGGGGCCCTTACCTGGCCCCAGGGCCATCAGAAAATGATTCTGCAGGATGAAGAACCGGTCCCGGGGAAAGGGTCGGGGCTTCCAGGGATCCCGCACCGAAAAAACTCAGGGTATCGCATGTCAGTGTACAATGGATCCACGTCAAATTTACATCTGATTTACGTCGGACCAACGTCCAATGTACATCGAAGGTACGTTGGACCATCGCCGCGCGAAAGTCATCCCATCTGACGAGGCGGACATAAGCACTAGATAATACAACTATTGCGCGCCGCGCGAGGCCTCCAGGATTTTCCTAGTTCGCACTACGCTGGGAGGCCTCCAGGATCCCCAGGCATGCCCGCGTCGTGAAAAGAATGCGGCGCAAACATTTGGCCGCCTTCGGCCTCCCTGGGCACTCGCTGGGCTACCGGACCGTCAAAATCGACTCGTCATGACAAACTGGTCCCGGGGGATGGGCAGAGACCTCTGGTGGGCCACGTCGTGGGAAAAAACACGACGCCAGAGATCCGGGTGCGCTTAGGCTTCGGGGCTTGTTGAAAGAAGACGCGCTTCGCCAGCCTATACGGCTGCGGCCACAAGATGTGAAGTGCGAGGCGATGCATGACGTGGTCATGCACATGCAGGGGAGGACAAAAGCGGACAACACGTGCCCCCCGAAGCTCTCTCGCGGCATGGGAGAGTGGTGCACACCACTGCATGTCTGGGTATACGGCACTCTGTCGGCGGCGCGCCTGGGGGGAAGCGAGAGGGGAGAGGCCTCCTCAGAATCGGCGGTGGACAAGCCTCCCTTTAGTGAACCTCCCCTTCGTGAAAACGGCCTGGGACCGAAACCGACGGACCTGGACCCGCAGAAATGACGGCCGCGACGCCCTCTCGCGAACCGAAAACGGCCAATTCCTTAATCGACGTGTCAGGATAGGAGGTCTGTCCACCCCCGACAGAAGGCGGCGGGGCTTCTCAGAACTCAAAAATCCCTCTGGCCTTCCGAGAAACCGTCTATCCATGAGATCCGGCGTGGCGAAAAAGATGCATCGCCGCGACGAATCACAGCTGGAGCCCCAAACCCAATCTGTCTGCGCCATTTTCCGAGCCGGATCGATATGTGAGCGTCCCAGGGCCCGAGTCTGGCGAAAATGCCCAGCGTGAAAAGATTGCAACACCCAGATCTGACACATTCTTCCGGAAAGACTTAGAAAACTGTTCAAAAGGCCGGAAACATTCCGAGCCTTCTGAGATAGGGCAACTCATCATGGCGTAAACCGAAAAACTCTGAGGTCGCGCGGATCTCTCGGATCGGCGCAGGACCCCCCTCGCTGGCGCGCGGAGCGCGCCAGGGGCGGCGCCCGAGGCGCCGCCAGGGCGCTCCAGCGCCGATCCGAGAAATCCGCGCGGACCTCCAAAGGCGTTTCTTTCTGTCACCGTTTGTTCCCCGGCGAGAAGACCCGCCCCCTCCCTCCCTCCTCCCTCCACCCTCCCCCTCCCCCCTGCTCTCTCCTCCCTCCCCTCCCTCCTGCCCTCCCTCCCTCCCTCCCTCGCTCCTCCCTCCCTTCCTCCTCCCTCCCCCTCTCCCTCCTCCCTCCTCCTCCTCTCCCTCCTCCCTCCTCCCTCCCTCCCTCCCTCCCTCCCCCTGCCCCTCCCTCTTCCCCCCCCCCTGGGGCTCGCCGCCGACCGCTTTAGACGAGTGGGCCCCCCCCGCGGGCTGAGCGGCAGGCCCGCGCGGGCCCCAGTGGGGCGGCGGGCGCGGCAAGCGGCAGCGCGTGGCGGCCGGGGGCCGCGGGCCGCGGCACGCGCCGCGCCGCGTGCGGCGACGACGCGGACGCCGGCGGCGAGCGAAGGGGGGGGAAGAAGCGGGGAGGTTGAAGGCCTTCTCTTCGCAGACAGCATCTATACACCACCACCGTGCCAGGCCAGGGCCATCCTGGGCCCTAGGATGGTGTATACGCCCGCCTTCGTCGGATTCTCAGAAGGCTCGACGTCCGAGGTGTTCGGCCGTCGTCGTCGGTTCTCGGCGGCCCTCCAGCTTCGGGATGCGGTCCCGCAGCGGCGCCTCGCCGAAGGCGTTCTGGGGGTGCCCGGATCGTCCCGTTAACGGCCGCCAGAGGCCCGAGGCATGACCCAAAAACCACATTCGGCGGCGCGCCGGGGGGGGAAGTGAGAGGCCCTCTCAGAAGACGGCGGCGGGGCTTCTCAGGAGCCCTCCTGCCTGCTGGGAGAAGTGGTCTGCCTCTCCGGGGAAACGCTTCAACAACTTCTCAGAGGGCTGGGGGACTTCCGAGCCCTCTGAGAAGGCCTGCCCCCTCTCACTTCCCCCCCCGCGGCAGCGGCGGCGGCGGCAACGATACGGATGATGAGCTTGCCATCGCTCGGACGTCCATTCCCCCTGCATGTGTTCGGTTCATGCGTTTTTGGTTGCCCTTGAGGATCCAGGCCGCTCCGCGCTGATCCTCGGCGGCGAAATGCACACGTCCGAGCGACAGCAAGCGAGCAGGGGCCCGTCGCCCCCCGCGCCTCGGCGCCCGGCTCCTTCGGGTTCTGAAGGCCGCCTTTTCAAAGGCGAGTGGCCTGCGAGGTCCGTCCGACAGACCAGCTGGCCAAAGACGAATCTGCGTCGAGCAGAGCACTAGAGATAGTGGCACCTGACCCAAGTCCTGCTCGTGTTCTCTCTCTCTCTCTCTCTCTCTCAATGTTTATGTGTTTCTCTTTCTCTATACAAATATACTATATGTATATGTGTGTGTCGCTCTTGCTCTCTCTCTCTCTCTCTCTTTCTCTTTCTCCCCCTCTCTCTCGCTCTCCATTTGTACGTCTATATATATGTATACCAATGCATATACAGTATGAACATGTATGCGTATGCATATATATATATATATATATATATATATATTCATGTGTGTGTATTGATATCGTTATCATGTTGATTGTTTCTCTCTCTCTCTCTCTCTACATCTGTATAAACGGGAAGTTACCTGCGTGTAGCTATATACATATATATATATATATATGCGTAGAGAGGTGCCCCAGACAGTGTTTGCACTTAGGGGTTCGTATGTCTTTTCTACGGAGTTGAGCCTGTATGGCGGTCTGGCGGCCACGTTGCCGCCATCGCCGCCCCGTCGCCGCTTCGTCGCCGCCCGTCGTCTGGGCCTATCTGGCGGTCTGGCGGCTATGTTGCCGACGTCGCCGCCCCGTCGCCGCCTCGTCGCCGCCCGTCATCTGGACCTTTGTGGCGGTCTGGCGGCTATATTGCCACCGTCGCCGCCCCGTCGCCGCCCCGTCGCCGCTCCATCGCCTACACATAGGTTGCTCCACATAGACTGCACACCAACCATTGCACCACATATAGTTAATGTACAAGAGAGATTGCAGCACTTAGATTATACAACATATATATATATATATATATATATTGCACCACAGATACTGCCTCCCAAATATTGCACACTAACGATTGCACCACATATTTTGCATAAGACTGACTGCACAGCATACACGTATCCACATACATATATATATATGTTTATATGTGTATTGACATTTTGCTCCACGTAGCTTGCACCACATAGGTGACTCCACACGTACTGCTCCACCAATATTGCACAACATAGATTACACCAATACTGATGTTACCAAATATATACATACATATACATATTGCACCACAGAGACTACCACACGGACTGCACAGCATAGATTGCACCACATTGCATGCACAAAATATATTGCACCGCATTCATTGCAACACATCAGCTGTACAACATAGATCGCATAACTCAGATTGCACCAACTTTATTGCACAACATAGAAATGCACAACACGGATTGCACCACATAGCTTGCACAGTATAGATTGCACAACATAGGATGCACCACATATATTGCTCCACATCGATTGCAGCACATAAGCTGCACCACCTATACTGCACCAAAGAATATGCTCCAATTAAAGTGCACACAGCGTATGCAAGCCAGCGTGGACCCCACACGGTGTGCGTTCTAGCAGTAGGAATTGCGCGATAGGTGTGAAGCCACCGATGTAGTGCAAGATATGAAGTGCAGCCTATGTTGTGCAGTATATGCGGAGCTGTTTTCTGTTGTGCTGTATGGGTGAAACAGTCAATGAGATGCAATACATGCGGTGCGATACATGGTGTGCGAAATATGTTGTGGACCCTATGTAGCGCGGTGCATCTAATTTTGTGCGACCGATGTGGTGCGGCCACTGGTGTGCAAACTATGTGGTGCAACGTATGTGGTGCAATCTGCGTGGTGCCATTTGTGGTGCGCACTCCGTGTAGAGCAATATGCGTGACGCCGTCTATGTGGTGGTCTGTAGGTTGCGCAAAACATGTGCAGCAACCCACGTGGTGCCATCCACTCGTGGCAATATATATATATATATATATATATACATGCATACATACATATATATATGTGTATTGTGCAGTAGTTGAGAGAGCACACACGCAGGGCCGGAGCGAGGGGGGGCTCCCCAATCAGCTACCCTCCCCCCCCCTTTGGGGCCTCCCCTGCCCGAAGGCCCCCCCCCATTCTCCCCCCCTTTTTTCCGCCCCGCGGAAGCTCCCTCCCTCCCTCCCTCCCTCCCTTTTCGTGCTTTGGAAGCCTCCCACACCCCTCCCCCCCTTTTTCCAAAGGGCCAAAGGGGGGGGCTTACCTCCCCCCCCACTCTTTGGACCACGCCTGCCGGAAGCGCCGAGAAATGCGATTCTTGAACCAATTGTTGTGAGGACGTCCCAAGCGAGAGCGCGATTCCTGGGTAGAATGCGAGGAAGTCTCAGGCGGGAGCGGGGGTCCTGGCTACATTGTAAGAAAATCTCAAGCCGGAACCGTTGCTGTCGTAATCTGGAGGCCACAGACGCAAATTGAGCCTAGTGATTTTCCCTGATAAAGACCAGGGAGCGAGCCCTGGGGGAAGCACTTCAACTGAAAAACACTGTGGTCACCGGAGTGTGGCATCAATAATAAATATTCTTCGGTAGTGAATGTTCAACAACAACAACAACAACAACAACAACAACAACAACAACAAGTACAACAACAACAACAACAACAACAACAACAACTTGCGACCGCGACCTTGCGATTTCGAAAAAAGAAAAATCTGTCTTTCAACAACTTTAAATTAAATTCTACCGAAATTTCCTCCCGCGCCGCATATCGGCACCATTCGAATGCCATTGCGCGCGTGCTGGGGGGGGCACGATCCGTCCCAAAGAATACCACGTGGGCCACTCGCGCGAGTCGGCCGCGCGCGCATGGCGAACTCCTTCCAAAACCTTCATCACCGACGCGAGGACGCCGTCGTCGGCGTGATCAGAACTGGCGCTGTCACTGGCCTCACCGTCGTCGTTGCCACCATCATCACCAGCATCGCTACTATGATCATCGTGTCTACTGTTGTCGACGCTGCCATGATACAGTGCCCGCCCAACTCGCCGACTCGCACCGAAATGCCCGCTGGGAAGTGCCCAGCGGTCAGCGCTACTGGGGCCGCGTCGGTCGCGCCAAACTAGCTGGCGGCTGCGCGCGCGAGCATGCGCGGGCTAGCGCCCACGAAGACGCACCAGCCAACACAATGCAATCACCGCAATCACCGCCGCATGGAATTTGCAAACCAAGTTGCGGGTGGGTGGGTGCGAAGATTGCGCGCGCAGTGGAGTTGACAACCTCAAGTTCGGCAGGGTGAATTGCACCACATAGATTGCATCACATAGATTGCACGACATGTGTTACATCACCTAGATTACACCACCTAGGATGCACCACAAAAAATGCACAACCTACGTTACGAATCGTAGACAGCACCACATTCGCTGCAATACATAACTTGCACCACACATAGACATGGATAACACCACCTATGTTGTTACACATAGATGGTTCCACATAGATAACACCGAACCTACAGCTAGTCACACACACACACTGTTTGGGGTCCACGCTGGCTAATGTGTATATATACATGTATGTATATGTATATATATTGCTGGATAGGTGTATTAAGTTATATATCGCACGTGTGATCTCTCCCTCTGAAAACATGTGTTTACATATCATGTGCAAACATCGAATACCAGACATGTGTGTGTGTGTGTGTGCGTACATGTGGCCGGCATTGTCACTTCCCACTCCCAGCCTGACATCCCTCTGAACCTCCCTCCCTCTCCCCTCTCCCGTCCCATTGTAGCGGCCCTTCCGCCACCTGCTCCCGAGCCTTACCCCACTCCACAACGTCAGTCGGCGATCCGTGTGATCCACCACCTCTCCTTCTTCCTCCTCCTCCTCATCCTCCTCCTCCTCTTCCTCGTCATCATCATCATCATCATCATCATCATCATCATCATCATCATCATCATCATCATCATCATCATCATCATCATCATCATCATCATCATCATCATCGTCGTCGTCGTCGTCGTCGTCGTCGTCGTCGTCGTCGTCGTCGTCGACGTCATCATCATCGTCATCATCATCATCATCATCATCATCATCATCAGCATCATCATCATCATCAGCATCATCATCACTGCCACCACCATCTGAGGAAACCGCCCGATACAAAGACCGCTGCTCCCTGGAGCTCTCCTGGGGTGCGTTCTGACCAGAATCTCGAGGCGAATCCAGCCCTGGCAGCGAGGGCCTCCCAGGAGGCCGCAAACAAGCGACAGCGAGGCAACGGTGGCGGTATGGGTACCTTTCCTCCTCTGGTCATCATTACTCGTGATGGCCATCACCATCCTCCTCTTCCGCCTGCTTCTCTCGAGCGCATCGCAAAAAAAAACGCCCTCCTTCGCCTGCATGTTGGAGAGCGCCTCCTGCACCGCGAGGTGATGGGCACTGGGCCGCCTGCTCGGCGGCAGCAGCGAGGTCCAGGTGAGGCGAAGGAGGGAAGGTGACGGTGAGGAAGGTCAGGAGGAGCGAAGGAAGGAGGAGGGAGGGAGGGAGGGAGGGAGGGAAAGAAGGAAGGAAGGAAAGAAGGTGAGGAGGTGAGTTGAGAGCGAACGAGGAGAGTGCAAGACCCGACAAAACCCACCAAAGACACCCGAGGGCCGCGACAACCTGCGACAACCTTTTTCGGAAATCACCTCCGAAACCATACGACACCTGACAACTCACTGAACCCAACAGAATACTGACCATTCTCGAAACTATCACCGAAGCCTCCGAACACCGACACCGACGACGAAGAAGATGACGACGCCGACACCGACGCTGGGGGCAGTGGTGATGATGACGACGAGGGGGATGATGACGAACGAACGACGACGACGACGACGACGACGACGACGACGACGACGACGACCACGGCGGTGGTGGCGGCGGCGGCGAGAAGACGCGACGGCCTTTAGAGGTCTCTAGAGTTGTCCGAAGTTCGTCGAGGCCCCCTCAGGCCTCTGGAGGCCCCCAGGAGGTCCAAGAAAGAGGGGCTGAAGGCGCCCACACCCCTCAACCCTGGAGCATCAATCCTCGACGATCGACCCTCGACGATCGATCTTCGATCCTCGACGATCCTCGACGATCGATCCTCGACGATCGATCTTCTATCCTCGACGATCGCTCCTAGATCCTTGACGATCCTCAAAGATCGATCCTCGACGATGTATCTTCGATCCTCGATGATCGATCCTGGATTCTCGACGATCCCCGACGATCGCTCCTCTCCGATCGACCGACGGCGCCGCGCCGCGAAGCCGAGGCCGAGCGAGGCCCGTACCTGCCAGAGGACGCCGAGAAGGGCGCGACGTGGAGGGGCTGCCCCCCCCCCTCCTCCCTCTCCCCGGGGCTCTGCAGCGCGAGAAAGAGGGGGAGGGGGCAGGGAGGGGGCCCCCCGGGGCCTCCGGAGCCTCCACTTCTGCGCCCCGTGGCTCGACACAGGTCGAGGATCCAATCCTGGCATCACAAAAAAAAAGCTCTCGGAGGCCCGCGCCAGTGTCTTGGATCGGCGCTGGAAGCCCCCCCCCTCCTTGGCGCGCGGAGAGCGCCGGAGGCGCCACCAGGGGGCTCCAGCGCCGATCCAAGAAGTCAGTGCGGACCTCTGAACGTATATGTTTTTATGTCCTGTGTTGTTCCTCGATTATACACCACGTCGTCTTTTCGGCCAAGGGGCCCAGTGTATAGACGATCCAGCTTCCCAGCCTGGTGTATGCATCGAGGCCCTCCGAGACACGGAGCATCGTTTACTTGATCCTCATCCCCAGTGGCATGGCCACTGCCCCACTAGCCGATTTCCACCCCCAAGTGGGGATACACGCTGATTCCTTCGGGTTTCACGGGACCTATCGCCACCTGAGGGTGCGGGCCACTGAGGCTGAGATACCATGGATCAGTGGGGATGGGGACTGGTTAGCCGATGCTGAGCCACAGCAACCGACAGAATCGAACCGACCGAACGCAACCACCTGCGACGCAGCCCAACCCACCGAACCGCGGACACCCTTGCGGCTGGATTTCGGGCCATCACTGGGGCCTCCGGCGACCGTTCGAGACCATCCAGGCACCCCGGGGCAAGCTCTCGGCGAGGCGCAGCTGCTGGAGAGCATCCCAAGGCTGGAAGACCACCGAGAACCGACGGCAAGCCCCAATCCTTGGCATGATGCAAACGAGTCCTGAGGGCAACGGGTCTTGGACCACGGGGGCTTCCCCCAGGACCGGAGTTTGGTCGTGAGCCGTTGCTTGCCAGGTGTCGGGGCCCGTGGACGGCTGGGAGGCCAAAGACGGCGAAAAAATCCCAGGGCCCGCGTCCCCAGAGACCCGCGTGCTTCACGGCAGCAGTCCCCCCTGGGGACGCAGGCGGACACACCAGCAGCGTGCGCCCCCCGTGGTGGTGCACGCCCGAGCCGCACGGGCACCCCAACACACATCACCAGCACATCGTGACCCAGGCGTTCGGGCCAGAGAGCGCCCGCCAAACTTCTGAGCGCACACGTCGCCCCCGGGGGGCCGACGCACACATGATGGGGCCTGCTTTCCACCACCACCACTTCCATAAGCAGGCGGGGGAGGGGGTCCTCCTCCTCCTCCTCCTCCTCCTCCTCCTCCTCCTCCTCTTCCTCCTCCTCCTCCTCCTCTTCGTCCTCCACCTCCTCATCCTCCACCTCCTTCCTCCCTCCAACTTATGGTGGTGGTGGTGGTGGAAAATAAGCCCATCAACACACAGGCAGGTACGCCCGCGACCAGACTGTAGCGCTGCCAGCCTGCGGCAGTCACACACGCGTTTTGGCGGGCGTGTTGTGTGGCCTCCGCGGGAGCCCTTTGGGGGGGGGAGACCTCGGGGGCCCGGCGGGGCTCGTGCGACCCCGGCCCCGTGACGCCACGGGGCTGTGCGACCCGGTGCCGGCCACGACCGCCGCGCCAACACAGAGCCCTTGCGACTCGAACAACGCCAGACCCTCGACGACATGATTTGTTCAGATCGTCGCCCCCCAACGGTCTCGACCATTCCCCGGGACCGGTTTGTCATCCTGAGTCGTTTTTTGACGGTCCCGAGGCCCTGTGAGGGCCCCCAGGGGCTGAAAATAGCAGACAGGCCTCCCGTCGTGATTTGATGTGTTGATGCCGCGAGTGGTGCTGGGGTGCAAAGCCCTTGTGACCCGAACAGGAATGGACGGCGCCATAGACTCAGTGGTAAGCACGTTGAGGTGATTGGGGACGCCGAAGGCACCGATACCGCTACTCTCCGGACCTCTCCAGGAGTGCGTTCTGACCAGGATTTCGAGGCGAATCCAGCGCTGACGACGAGGACCTCCCAGGAGGCCGAAAAATAGGAGAACGGGGCGCGAAGGGCAGGAGTCACACCTCTTCCTCCTCCGAACGATGCCCCTCCCGCGCCGACCCGTCCTGGGAGTCGCCCGGAGGCTGCCCCGCGGGCTGCCCCGCGGGCTGCCCCGCGGGCTGCCCCGCGGGCTGCCCCGCGGGCTGAGGCCGCCCTGGACGCTCGTTCGCTGCGAGGCCTTGGAGGCGCTCCGGAGCTCCACGGACCTCGGCGGGGGGGGGCGAGGCCTGCCGCGCTCCGATGGGGGCTACCAGCTCGAGGCGGTCGCCCTGTGGCCGAGGAGGAAGGATTCAAGGGGGCCCAGGGACACACGACTGAAGAAGCACACAAAGCCCAGGATTCCCCACGGTTTCGTAGATTTTTATTGGTTATCGTTTTCCCCCCCACTTCCCATATTTTCCTATATGTTGGTGGGGATCGACGATTACTTGTGTCTGTGTTTTTTCTTTCCTGAGAAGGAAAAGTAGCAGGCAAGAGAAGCAGTAGCAGCAGCAGCAGCGGCAGCGGCAGCAAACGAGAGTGCTCCGCACGCGCCGATTCTGGATTCCTTCAGGCATACGCAGTCGGACCGAGGCCAGAAGAACATCCTTCAAGAACATTGAGACCCTCCGTCGGCCAAAACGCACAGAACGCCCAAGGCATCCAACAAGCAAGAAGAACACGAGGGCATCCTCTCCGAACCGACCTCGATCTTACATCTCGGTTCGACTGTATCTATTCTCATGGTGCGTATGGTGCTCCACACCGTTCCAGAGGGAGGCACTGCAGGATATGTTCCATGACACGACCAGTCTGGATCACTGCTTTGCTTGGCGGCGCGCAGAGGGGGGTATGGGGGAGAGGGGGGGGCCTTCTCAGAAGAAGCCTGCCTCTCCGAAGGCGCTGGCCCCACATCTAGAGAGAAGGCCCGCGCCTCCGGAGAAGCAGGGGTGCATCTGAGAAGCCTCCTCAGCTCCCCCCCAAACGCCCCCCCTCTGCGCGTGGCCGATCACTGCAGGCATGCGCCTCTGCAAGCAGGAACCGAAAACGACGGCGGGGCGTGGCCGGTGCGCCCCCCCCCCCCCTCCGCGGGGGCACGGCGCGCGCGGGCGGCCCCCCCCGGGGGGGGGGCAGAGAGGGCCCAGACCTCCAGAGAGGTGCCTTTGTTCACGCTGGGCAGCTCTCGTCCCTCACTTCTGCGGCCGCCCTCTGCGCTTTCTCGTGCCTGCAGTGGGAGCTCGGCCACAGGGAACTGTCCACAGGGAGCCCCACCATGAGACCCCAGGGTAGCTCTTGTGCCTCACTTCTGCGGCCGCCCTCTGCGCTTCCTCGTGCCTGCAGTGGGAGCTCGGCCACGAGGAACTTTCCACAGGGAGCCCAACCATGAGACCCCAGGACGTCCGCTGATTTCTGGTGTGGGAGAAAGTCTTTCCATGGCAAAGCCATCGAAACCCAAGAAACCCAGCCCAGGGCACCCTGGAGGCAAGCAGGGTGTTTATTGGCATGGGCCTCCACTGCAGGTCCAGTGTGCCCGTGGAGGGCGTTCCTGATATGCTTCGCGATCTCGGCCGTTCCCGGCCCTGGCCGCCCCCCTTCCCCACCCCCCCCCCAGCCCGGCGATTCGCCCTGACCTCCGAGTTGCCTTTGGCGGCTCCCAGGCATTCCGGGAAGGCGCCGGCGGGCAACGTGACGTCACCAGACCCCCGCCCCCCTTGGGGCAGTGCAAAGGGGGGTCACCACTATGGGGGTCGCCACTTCCTCGAGGAAACGCAACTTCCTCGAAACTTCCTCTAGGAACTGTCCCTCCTCCTCCTCCTCCTCCTCCTCCTCCTCCTCCTCCTCCTCCTCCTCCTCCTCCTCCTCCTCCTCCTCCTCCTCCTCCTCCTCCTCCTCCTCCTCCTCCTCCTCCTCCTCCTCCTCCTCCTCCTCCTCCTCCTCCTCCTCCACCGCGCGAGGGCTAGGCCCGCGGCTCCGGGGCCAGCGAGGACTGCGACGGGGAGGCGCTGGCCGTCGGCCGCGGCGGCGCGCCCGCCGGGGCGCGCACGGAGAGCCGGGGCTCCTCCTGGAAGCGCACGGAGAGCCGGGGCGGCTCGTCGCGGAAGCGCACGGCCTTGGGCCGGAGAGGCGAGGGAGGGGAGGTCTAAGGAAGAGCACGAGGAGGAGGAGGAGGAGGAGGAGGAGGAGGAGGATTGGAGGGAGATGAGGAGGAGGAGGAGGAGGAGGAGGAGGAGGAGGAGGAGGAGGTGCAGGAGGAGGAGGAGGAGAGGAGGAGGAGAGGAGGAGAGGAGGAGGAGGAGAGGAGGAGGAGAGGAGGAGAGGAGGAGAAAGCAGGAGAAGATGATGATGATGATGATGATGATGATGATGATGATGATGATGATGATGAGATGATGATGATGATGATGATGAATGATGATGATGATGATGATGATGATGATGATGATGATGATGATGATGAGATGGGTGAGGAGGAGCAGGAGCAGGAGGAGGAGGAGGAGGAGGGAGGAGGAGGAGGAGGAGGAGGAGGAGGAGGAGGAGGAGGAGGGAAGCCTACGTGTTCGATCATGGACCCTTTGTTACCTGTTACTACTGGGTCGTCTTCGGCGGTCTTCGAGCGGTCTTCAGCGGTCTTCGGCGGTCTCCGGCGGTCTTCGGTGGTCTTTCGACGGTCTTCGGCGGTCTTCCGACGGTCTTCCGACGGTCTTCGGCGGTTTCCTGCGGTCCTTGGCGGTTTCCAGCGGTCTTCGGCGCGAAAGCTGGATGGTTGCGTTCAACAAGGGGTCCAGAATCGAAAACCTGCGAGAGCAGTTCACCGCGACATCAACCAGGCCCAACACCAACTGGCCGAACCGGACGGGACGACCGCCCACACCGCGACGCAGAAGCCAGGACAGAACGAGCCAGCAGAGGAGAGGAATCACACCGCAGTCAGCAGGATATCAACGAATTCATCAGCCTGATGGCCGACCGACCCACACCCACGCCATCCCACGACGATCATCGTACACTCAGTGGTACACAAAATAGCGTCTGGAACGACCAGCCAAACGATCCAAGCCACTCGACTACCACACCGACGAGCACCAACCACACGGCAGCTCACCCCTCGACGGCGGCGGCGAGCCCACCAAAGGAAGGTCACCGAAAGGCACCACCACCAAGCAATCAATTATGGCAAGCAGTGCCGGCCAAACCCCGGCCGCTGAGGAGCGAACTCCGCACTCGTGCCGAGATGGAACCTGCCATACAGCGGCACGTCGGTGCGTCAGTCCTTCCCCCACACCAATTTTGCGATCAGCAACCGGAGATCACTACCAGAGTTTGCTCGGGCAGCGCCACCCCGACCCCCGACCTCTCCGCCATCCTTGATCCAAACCGGCGCACCCACTGTTTACGACAGAAACAGTAGCAGCAGCTGGACTCCTTCATCTTATGGGCACTCAGCACCTCACCACACCTACTCCCAGACGACGGCAGCACCAGCAAACGGCGATAGCGGCATTCTCGGGAGGCGCGAAGACAGTGGGTCCACGGTAACATAGGGCTTCAAAACCTGCACCCACGGTGAATCCGACGTACCACCTGCACCGACGGCGTCTACAGCTTCAACAGGCTATGCTATGCAGTGGGTCCACGGTCATGCAGGGCTCCAAACCGCCGTGGCTTTGGCTTTCTCACCCACGTCTTCTGATCAAACGACGGACTGCAAAAGCCACAACCACATGTGTCCGCATGGGTGAAACAACATACTTCCAAAATCTGGCAGATGGAGCTCTCATGCACATCCTTGGTGGCCTTCATCGCAAACTCAGTGCAGGGGCCTCGGCAGCGACAACACGAAGAGCCCACTCTCCACCTGGCCCCGAGAGAACCCTCACCCAGCCTTCATCCCCTTCTGGCTCCACGTCCACCCCTGTGCCCCGCTGCTCGCCCACCTGACCTCATCCAGCCCACTCGTGTGGCGGCGGAACGGGCGGGGAGAACTTCAGTACCCGTTGGGAGGGGGAGGGGAACCACCACCGCGGGCGACCCTGGCGGAAGGGTCGGGGCGGCCGCGACCAGCAGAACCGCCAGCCTCTTCCCACCTCTTCTTTGTCACACACGGTATGCGGTATGCACCTCTTGCCTGCCCCACAGCCCTGCAGGCATCCGCCTCAGCCTGCCTCCACACCGCCGCCTCAGCGTGCACCCAGCCTCGCCCAGCAGCCGCCAGCCTGACGCTGGCCGCACTGGCCAGGGCAAGGGCAACCGCAGGATATGGTGGTTGTGGGGGGGGACATGCTACACGCAGCCTTGGCCGAGACCAGAACAGCCACAGCTCACAGCTCAGAACCACAGGCCCCAGCCCTGTTTGCATCACAGCATCTGTTGGCTCATGCCGCAGCTAGCAGCTGCCTCAACTCCTCACCGCACAACGTGCGGCACTGCACTCCAGCCTGCAGCCAGCCGCCTTCCTCCACTCACGCCGCTTGCAAAATGGGTGAGGGGAAGGTACACTGGGCGGTGGAGGGATTACACCGCTACATCCACAGGATGGCACAGATCTCCCCTTAAGTACCTGATGGGGCCGCGCACCACAAGAGGCCGAGAGCAGCGACGGAAGCTCCGACAGCAGCCCAGTGCGCTGCAGGGTCTGGGTATCTTGCCCTCGGGGGTGAACAGAGCCCCCCTTGGCAGAACACCCTTTAGTGAAACCGACCCCGGGACCCGACCCAGCGGACTTCGGCCCACAACAATGGCGGCCGCAGCGCCCTGTCGAGAGCCGAGAAAGGGCAATCCGTGAATCGCCTCGGCAAGGGGGGGGGTTCTACGGTCGGGAAGTCTTGCTCCTCGTGTCGCGGCGGAGGCCCCGGCGACACGCTACGCCCTGCGAGCGGATAGCGTGCCGCTCCGCTCCGCTGGGCGGGACGCTGGGAAAGACTGGGGACGTCGAAACCTGGGAACTGTGAAGGGGAACTGGGACACACAAATAACTACACACAAATAAAAATATCCCCCATATTTTCCTATATTTTCTGGGTTTTTGTCTTCCCCCCACTTCCCATATTTTCCCATATTTTCCTGGGAATCGAGGATTAATTGTGTCTGTGTGTTTCTTTTCCTCCTGAAACTGGAGCGTGGACAGCGTGCCGCTCCAAAAAGCAGCGTGGTGAGCCCGAGCCGGCGGCGCGACACGCTCATCAAGAGTTCCAGACCGTAGCAGCCTCGGCCATGGACGGGGGCTCGGCCCCAGAGCATCGGTCCTCGATGTGGGAGCCTCGATCCTGGTTCCTGCCTCCTCCTCCTCCTGCTCCTCCTCCTCCTCCTCCTCCTTCTCGTCCTCCTCCTTCTCCTCCTCCTCCTGTTCCTCTTCCTCCTCATCCTCCCCGAACCTCCGTCCTGAAGCCTCGATCCCTCCTCCCTCGATCCCTCCTCCCTCGATCCCTCCTCCCTCGATCCCTGACGTGGGTAGCTTGGGCGCGACGCGCTGAGCCAAAGCTCCTGACCGCATGATGCCAGGAGGCCCATACATCCGGTGCCTTGACGCTGTCCAACACGGGGGTCCCTGGAGCTCTGGACCACTTCCCGGGGACCAATGTGAAGTGGCCCTGGGACAGCAAATAACAGGATCCCCCATATTTTCCTATATTTTCGGGGTTTTGTCTTCCCCCTCACTTCCCATATTTTCCCATCTTTTCCTGGGAGTCGACGATCAATTGTGTCTGTGTGTTTCTTTCTCTCCTGACAATGTTTTCCGTTCCAGATCGTTGCTTGACAGTCCCCAGGCCCGGCGAGGGCCTCAGAGGACTCAAACGACGCGAACACAAAAAAACAGCAAAAAAGCCTTCCCTCCCCCTTTCTTTCGCAACTCTCGGGAGCCTCCCATGCCGTCTTGCTGGCTCTTGCGAACCGACGCTGATTAAATTTCATTGACGTTACCCACGCTAAATCGACGCTAATCGGCGCGAGTCGAAACTCGATCGGCGCCTTCCCATCGATTGCCAGACGCTACCGCACGCCAACGCCAGTGCACTCTGAGGACGTGGACACACAACGCTCCCATGATTTGCTACCGAATCACCCTGCAGGAGGAGGCAGCCTTGTCGCCGTGGTCCTCCCCGCCGTCGAGATCTCCACCCTCGGCGGCTGGGGGCGCGAGGTTCATCCGCCTGCGGGCGCCGGCGAGGGGGCGCTCCGAGGGAATAGCTGGGCGCGCGGCGGCCCAGGAGGGGGCCAGGCATTGGAGAGAGACGCGGGCGGGGGCCCCGACTGAGCGGCTGTTGAGGGCCCCGAGGTGAAGCATCCTCTTCCTCCTCCTCCTCCTCCTGCTCCTCCTCTTCCTCCTCCTCCTCTTCCTCCTCCTCCTCTTCCTCCTCCTCCTCCTCCTCCTCCTCCTCCTCCTCCTCCTCATCATCATCATCATCATCATCATCATCATCATCATCATCATCATCATCATCATCATCATCATCATCATCATCATCATCATCATCATCGTCATCACCGTAGCCATTTTGGCTCAAGCCAAAAGGACCGCCAAAGCCTCTCTTGCGACACGTGGCATCTCCAGGGACCGCCAAAGGCCCGACCTGGTGTCACAGATTTTCGGCCTCCCTTACATCCGCCTTTGCACCGCCCTTACTTCTGTCTGCAGTCATGACGTGGCAGTGCTTGCTGTGCGGCCTCCACAACTGGGACACGCGATCCCAGTGCCGCGAATGCCCGCCGGGGAAGAAGCCCAGAACCGCTGCCGCGTCGGCAGCCCGGCACAGCGGCAAGGGGCGTCTCGGCAAGGGGCGCCAGGCCAACGACGAGATGAACACGACGCTCTCGTCCGCGAGCTCGACCTCACCAGCGGCTGCCGAGGCCTCGCAGGCTGGGGCGACTGCGCAGGAGGATCGTGCCGCCCTGCAGGCCCAGCTGACATCGCTGGAGTCTGCGATTGCAGCTCTGGGAGAGACTGCCGCACCCGACATTTGGCAGGGCCTCCAGGACAAGGCCGAGCAGGTCAAGCAGCGCCTCCGCGACGGACGCCCCCTAGGCCAGCGGTTCGAGGGCCTGCGAGGCGCGATCCAGCGTGGCGAGGCGCGCCTCCTCAAGGCACAGCTGGCTTTGAAGGAGGCCCAGAAGAGGATCACCGACGAGACTGACCTCCTGGAACGGCGCCAGAAGGAGATGCGTGCGATGGAGACCGAGCTGATCAAGGAATTGTCGCACACCCCATCGGGGTTTCGGCAGACTTCCGAGGCGACTGTGCCACCATGGGTCGCCTCCAAGCTGCAGTACTTTGCCCAGCAGCTCCGCGCAGGCAACCTCACCAACCCGGCGGCCCTGGCCGACCAGCTACTCCTCCTTGGCCAGCCAGCCAACACGGCTGGGCACAATTGGGAGGAGGAGGAGGAGGACCAGCAGCAGGACGACAGTTGGGAGGAGGAGCAGGACGACGATATGAGCGAGACGCCACCGCTTCAGCTGCCGCCGCTGGAGGATGGTGCTATGGAGTGCACGCGGCAGACGGAGGTCGCGCAGTGGACCGAGGGCAAGGGCAACCGCAGGCGTCTTCTCGGCAAGCACATCGTCGAGACGCCCCAGCTGGGTGCTCCAGGCTCATCCCTGGCAACCCCCCCATAGCGCCTCCAGGGGATGCTCACGCAGGCGGGGGCTCGGGAGGGCCTGACCCCCATGGTGCTGCGAATGCTGCCTCTGACAAGGCGGCTAGATGCACAAATACCCAAATTAAAGTGGCCACTGCCAACGTTACTACGGCAGGGCCCATCACCGCCCTGCGGGCTGTGCACGCTCAAATGGGCTTGACGTGCACTGGACGCATGGCAGAGCTTGAATGTATGTTTCACCACGCTGGTTTCGACCTCGTGGCTGTTCAGGAGGGGCGGATGAGCAGCCAGACCACCCTGAAGGGCGAGCACTACACTATGTACGTGTTCCCTGGTGTTGGGCCCTGCCGCGCTCGAGGCAATCAGATCTGGGTCCGGCACCATCTGGCCAAGTCGGTTTCCTTCGTCACGCAGGTAACTGATCGTGTCCACGCACTTTCGCTTGATTTTCAGGCATCGGCCAAGCATCGGCGACTTGTTTTTGTCAACGTGCACGCGCCTACGCAGCAGGCGCCACCAGAGGAAAGGGAGAACTTCTTCGCCAGCCTGGAGGACCTCATTACATCGCAGTCAGCAGGGGGTGATTATGTGATCGCGGGTGACTTCAATGCCTGGCTTGGCCCTTTCGCTTCACCAGGCGTGGGGGCTTCTTCACGTGACCAGGAGAGCGAGTCGGGCACGCGCCTGCGCGAGACAGTGGCCGAGTTCCACATGGATGTGGTCAGCACGACGAGGCAGGACTACCGACCGACATGGCAGGCGAATTCTGGGCACCAGCACCGCATCGACTATCTTATAGTGTCTAAGGGTCTTGCTCCCACCGCCAGGGACGTGCACACGCACTTGGAGATGGACATGAGTTTTGCCACCTCCGTCGACCGCTGGCCGGTCAGCGCTTCCCTGGTCGTCAACAAGCGGCACCGGCCCCGCGAAGCAAAGACCCCAAAGATTTGCAGAGCCAAGCTGAAAGATCCACATCTGCAACTCGCACTGCAGAAGCGGCTTTGGGATCAGAGTGTCGCGTTGCGGGGCCGCCCGCACGAGAAATTGCAGCAGCTGGACCTGGCCATGACGGAGCTGGTACAGGACATCTTTGCAGCAGATGGTGACGCACCTCGCAAGCATTGGATTAGCCAGCACGCGTGGCAGCTCATGCAGCACGCATGGACATTGAAGGATGCCCTGCGCGACGCTCGCTGGCACTGCCGGAATGCGCGCCTGCGTGCGTGCTTCTCTGCCTGGAGATTGCACAGCGCGTCGAATGCACCACGGGACGACGAGCGCCGTTATGGACTACATTACGCCCAGCTTCACAGCGCTCGAGTTGCGGAAGCCCGATCACTGCATCAGTTGCGACTCGCCCAAGCCGAGAAGGCCAAAGCGCTGGTCGCTGATCGCGAGCACCAGTGGACTACCCTGGCTTGCGAGGCCGACCAGGCGGCAGCAGCCGGAGACCTCCGAAAGACCTACTCGATCGTTCGTCGACTCGGAGGTTTCTCTCCGTCCACGTTGCCAGGCACTCGCTTGGCCAACGGTGAGTTCGCAGTCTCTGAGGCGCAGGCAAAGGAGCGGCGGGAGACCTTCTTCGCAGAGCTCCTAATTGGCGAGCTGCAGCAGGACGTCCCGCAGCCTTCGCCTCCTCCGCAGCCCGATCCGCAACTTGTTCGTGACGCCTTCGCTGAGGTGGGCAACGTGCGTTACAGAGTGAGCCAACTCCTTCAGACCATCAAGGACAACAAGGCGGTAGGCCCCGACGGCCTGCCGATAGAGGTGTGGAAGGCTGCCGGCGACCTCGCAGCCGACTACATAGCAGAGATCATCGAAGACGTCATCCAGACGAATGACGTCCCAGTGGCATGGCGCGGAGGACGGTTAGCCAAACTTTTCAAAGGAAAGGGCGACACGACAGAGTGCGACATGTACCGTGGACTCCTGGTGGGCGATCACACTTCGAAAATCTTCACAAATGTCCTGTACCCTTCCGTTCAGCGCCGAGTGGAGGAAGCGCTACCTCCGCAGCAGTGCAGTGGGGTGGCGTGCTCTGGGGCCAACCGTGGCCACCACGTCGTGTCGAGCTTCGTCGAGAGGACCGCCATCGAGAAGAGGCCGTCGGCCATTTTGTTCCTTGACCTCACGAAGGCGTTCGACAAGCTTGTACGCGAAATGGCCTTCCACCTTGTAGCCAGCTCCACCACCGAGGCGAACCTGGCCGCGCAACTAGAGCAGGTAGGGGTTGAAGGCACGGCAGCCTCGCATCTGGCCAACTACCTCATGCAGCACGGTGGCATCTTGCAGCAGATCGATGTCCCCGAACACCTCATCAGCTTAGTGGCCAACCTGCACAAAGACACATGGTTCGCACTCTCCCCAGAGGGCAGGGTCATCCGGACGACGAGGGGATCCCTCCAAGGCTGCCGCTTCGGCGCCTTGATCTTCAATATTGTGTATAGCGTGGCCTTGGGAGAGCTTCGAGCAGCGCTTGACAAGCTCAACCTCACATTCGCTGCGGAATGCGAGCCCAGCGGCCCGCCATGGACCCACCAGCCCGGCGCCTTCCCAACGCACACCGTGCCTGTTGGGGAGGTCACGTACGTCGACGACGAGGCCGTGCTGATCGTGGGCGAGGACAACGCGAGCCTCAACCGCAACGTCGCCCTGGTGGTGGCCGAAGCGGCGCACACCACCATGGAGAAGCACGGCATGCAGCTGAATTGGAAGCCTGGCAAGTCAGAGGCCCTCATCATGTGGAGAGGCAAAGGCGCCAAGGCCGCTAAGGCAGAGGCGATGATCGGCGAGCGCCCTGCTTTGACCGCGCTTGGGATCCCAGGCATCGAGTGTTCCGTTGTGAGCGAATACAAGCACCTAGGATCCATGCAGTCCGGTGTCGCGTCCTCTGCCCTGGACATACGTGCGCGCCTGCGGAAAGCATCCGTGGTGTACCATAGCTTGGTGCGGAAAGTCTTCGCAGCGCAACACATGAGCGTGCAGCTCAGGCTGCGACTTTTCCAGTCTCTCGTCCTTTCAGTGCTATTCTACAATTCTGAGCTGTGGACGCCTTCGCGCACTCACATACAGTGGTTGCACACATTTTACTTGCTCGCCGTGCGCAGGATAGCCCATGAGAGCCGTTTTCCAATCCCTGGGAAACCACGCCTAAGCGATTTGGCGCTTCTGCAGAAATTACAGCTGCCTTCTGTAGACAATATACTCAGGCGACGCCGCCTGTTGTACATATCCAGCTTGATTTGTAAGCCCTTCCCTGCACTGCAGGCCCTCCTCCTGCCTCACTCGGCCTCCCCCTCCTCGTGGTCCCAACGAGTTCTCGCCGACCTCCAGGCGATTCCCAGGCTCGCGCCGCCACCAGTCCGGCGCGACCTAGATGTGCTAGGGGACCCAAGCTCAGCAAAAGGAGCAGCCGCGTGGACAGAATTCATAGCCGCCGACTGGTGGAAGTGGAAACGTCTCGCCCGGGACGTCACGATCGGATCGGCGCCTTTTGCCGACGATTCCACAGAGCCCCTTACAGTCCAGTGCCCGGAGTGTGCCAAAC